AAACCACTTTCCCATACCTCTAAAGGAAGAACAACTGATTCTTTGAAAATAATAAAAAAAATACAAATTCCCTGGAAAAAATATTTGAATTACATTATAGATAAAGCATCTTCATTTTAGGCTTAGGTGCCACAAATTAAAAAAAAATAAAGTATAAAACCATTGACTGTCCTTGTTAGAAAGAATTCAAACATCTCTATCTTACCCCCATTAAATAACATTTATGTTTATTCTACTATGTCCAATGGAATATCCTGAAATTTTACTTTTTCTTTCAATAATTTCATCCAACATTATACCCTACACCTTGTTCATTATTTGGCACATGGTAAGAAAGCAATAAAATTTTGTTAAATTAAGAATGCACATTTACCTCACAGCTGGCATATTCTAAGGAAGTCAACATAACACTAAAATTTCTCTTAGAATCACACAATAATTTCTCACTAGTGTCATCATTTACCCTGGAGAGTAAGTTCAAGCAAAACAAATTCACAAATATGTAAACCCAGTAGCTGGTACCTGTTCACCTTCTCCCCTTCTTGACATGGACTGGTGTATGTTCAATGGTACTGTGGTTCCATTTAGTCTTTTGGGAGACAGATAGAAGGTCACTGCATCAAAGCAGCAGTGTAATACCGGGTGTGTGATTAAGATTTTTGAACTTTTCATATCTTAACACTAAACAAAAGATGGCAAAATAATTTCATTATCAAATATTTTCTCCTTCCTTGGCTTTTCCTCCAATGTCATTAGTGCAAATAAAACACAAAACCTGTAAAATGCTTATTGAGTTACTCAGAATGCAGCCATGTCTACTGGCAGAATGGAAAACAAGAGATCCACTTCTTCATTGTGGTCACTTTCTAGGGGACTGAACCTAACTTAAATTTTATAAACAAATTCACAGCTTCAAGAGCTCCACTCTGACTATATTGCATTTCTCTGCTTTCAACTGAGGGATAACGGAGTTCCTGACTTAGGCTGAGTGGTGATGAATGAGTGGTCCTGCTGAGTTCAGAACCTCATTAGCCCCACGCAGGTGAACTGTGCTGGCACTAAAAGGTATTTTACTCTACGATGATGTAAAATATTTTTTTTAACTTGATGATTGCAGGAGTTTTAGGCATTTCAGTATGTTTTACATGATAGTTTTGTTTTTTCAAAGAGCTACATAAAAAATAGCTTCAGGGCTGTGGAGATAGCTCAACAGTCTAAGCGCTTGCCTAGGCAAGTGCAAGGACCAGGGTTTGATCTCTGGTACCACATGCTGTACTGGCCCTGCCCTGGGACACCGAGACCATGCATGGTGGCACATGCCTGTAATCCCAGTGCTGGGAAGGCTGAAACAGGAGGATCATTACAAGTCCAAGTGAGACCCTGTACCAAATACATAAAATCAAAAAAAGGTTCAAATTTTGATACATATTTTAAAATTTGTATTACCTTATACAATTATGTATTTGTATTATAGTTTAACATCTACAGTGATATGTATCTAATTGCTATGAATAAAATCTGTCACTGAACTCCATTTCATATTACTCTGATACCTTAATGTGTTCCTTCTAGTGAAATCCTTGTAACAAGCAACCCTGTGAGATTGATAATAAAATTTCTTAACTGAAGTGTATGTAAAATAGAGCATGTTGAAAAACCTCCACATTTTTTGTCTTGTCATCATAGATCCAGCATTCAATCGATTATCCAAAAAGTTTCCAATTCTTTGGCTGAAAATTATTCATACAATGTAGAATAGGTTACACTGAAATATTTTTAAGATTGATGTTTATACACTTATACCCACAAAATATCAGAAATTAGACCTGCGACTTTACTATAAGATAAAGGGTAGATTGTTATCAATTTTAAAATAATCATTACTGCTGTAACTATTACACTTAATGAAGTTTTTGGAGAAAGTACAATAGACTTAAAATACTTTCCCCTGCAAATTTTTATATTTACCAAATAGTCTGTTTCTCTGGAATGCTTATTCTTTGGTACAATATAGTTATTACTTAAAGGTAATTAGGCTTTAAAGTGTATTTCTGTATACCTCAGTACATTCTCCACATTTTTGTACCTTGTTCCTCATAATATGGGCTTGGCCCAGTTGTTTATTACACAGTCTCAGTCTTTTGTGTACTTTGGTAAACTCATGTGTGAACACAAATGTTTACAGTGCAGTTCTTACTCTTAAGTTTTACTCTGACTTTAGGAGTCTAGCCAGATAGCTTAGCGGACTAAGGCGCCTGCTTAGGGAAAGCGCAGCAGCCAGGGTTCAATCTCCAGCGTGCTGTGCCAGGCTCACCCCTGGGGCATGCTGAGATGGTGACTGAGACTGGGTGTGGTGGAACACCTGTAATCCTAGTGCTTGTGAGGCTGAAAACAGGAGGATCACTAGGAGTCCAATCTGTGTAGTGAGACCCCGTAGACCCTGTACTAAAGTAGGCACTTTAGTCTGCTGAGCTATCTAATGGGCCCTGATTAACTTAAATCTTAGGAAAGCCCCATAATTTCATGACTTAAGAAAATGCTTCATCATTAACCACCCTTTAAGTGACTTATTGCGTACCCTTCCTGCAACTAATAGTTGAAAGTCCCTTTCTTGTATGCTTTGTCTGCCAAAGACAAATTAACAACTCAATGTTGGAAAATGCTTGAAATTAAAAAAAAGAACATAATCCCACATTGTTTAACTCCCTTGATTGAGGGTTCTTTTGAAACTTTTTCATGTTAACTGGTCAGGGAGACCCAGTGCATAAATGTTAGCACCTATGTGTAGCAGGGAGTGCACAGGGTTGTCTTCCTGTTCATGTTTCTAAATATCCTGAAGAGCTACTTCCCCATCTCTTTGTTATCTTGTGCTGAACTGTCTTGTTTATTCCAGACCCTAAGTATTTCAGATAAATGTTAGCTAGAAATAAAGTATATAAAAAGGTAATACCTTCAAATCTTCCCCCAACCATTCCTCTTCCACATCGGTTTGTCAAGTTATTCCTCTAGAGTAAGATTATCTTTTAAGGCTTATTCTTGTGATAGTAGAATAATTTCAGTCTTTCCAGCTTTGATGGTCTTCTTTAATGACTTTACACTTGGAATCTTTCTAACAGAATGAAAACTTGAAACTTGAAACTTAGGTGGGTGTGATTAATTAATCACTTGAAATTTTAGTCAATTGCTGGCTGAAATTGGAAGGCTTAGGACAGCTGTAAAAATACTGTTCTACAGTGTATGTGACTAATGAGGGTATATTTTATATAAATGTCTCTCACCTTCCAGTGAACACAGGGTAAACTGAAAATATATGCCATCATAGATCCAGTGTTCAATTGATTATCCAAAAAGTTTCTAATTCTTTAGCTGAAAATTATTCAAATAACAATGTAGAATATATTACACTGAAATATTTTTAAGATTGATGGTTATGCACCTGATACATGCACCTAACCTATAGAATCTTAGCAACACAGCTCATTGTTGAGTGAGGACCGTTCCCCATGAAGATCACATGACTGACCAGAAGATGTTGGTTTTAGCTGCTGCCTATCATCACCATAGAGTATTGTACAGACCACTATCATTAGCCTGAGAAAAGATCCCAATTCAACATATGGTTTCTACCAAATGTGTATCAGTTCTGCACAGTCATAAATTCAAGCCATCACAAGCTGGAGTCTATCTAGAACAGCAGTTCCTGATCTTTTTGGTGTCAAGGACTGGTTTCATGGAAGACAGTTTTTTTAAGGATAGGGAAGGGGAATGGTTTGGGGATGATTTGAAGGTATTACCTTTTTGTGTACTTTATTTCCAGCTAACATTCTATTATTACATTAGATTCTCATGAAGACTATACAACCTAAATCTGTCCCATGTGCAGTTGGCAGTAGGGTTCATGTTCTTGTGAGGCTGTAGTGCTTTGAGGCTGTAGTGCTTTGCTAGGAGGCAGAGTCAGGTGCTAAGGTAAGCGATGAGAGCAGCTGTCAACACAGATGGGCCTTCTCTCATTCACTGCTCACCTAAAGAGCATACAGCTCATTCCTGACATGACAGGAACAGAACCAGCCTGTGGCCCAGGGCTTAGGGAGCCTTTGTCTAGATTGATTTGAGACAGATATGGTGTACCTTAAGTCCCTATGTGTAGCACTTCTTCAAATAACAATCAGAAAAAAGCCATCATGGAGCTGTAGTTTGAAGCACTTTGTACTTTCCAGAGAATTCTATATCTGCTTCACCAAACCAGCTGTTAAAGCTTGAACACAGTGTGATTAATACAGTCTTACTTCAGAAAGAGAAGATTTCATAAAGTTTCTTGATCACTATTAAATCTACAGCATTTTTCTCTTTCAGAGCAGAACCATCAACCGTTGCTCTAAGAAACACAACATAATTAGTGCTAGTGGCAGAATAGTATATTGTTAGCCTTCTGAGAAAGACGTAACATACATAGTTCAAACATAGCAGATTTGTGATGACTATCAGAACTTTGACAGGGTTCTTTGACAACATTTTTTACATAAATGATTTTTCATTTTTAGCCATATGCATTAGGATATATACATACACATACTCTACTAGTACACCACACATGATATCTAAAGCCCATTTACATTATGTCAACTTTGGCTTCACAGTGACCAAACTAAATGTACTGATCTCAGCATATTCAATAATTTGGCCTAGAAAATTAACATGCAAAAAGAGCCAACTATTTAAAAAAATTGGTGGCATGTTAAAGGAGTCATACTTCAACACCAAGAGAGAAAAGCACTAGAAATTACAAATGTCTCTAAATCATAAGACTTAAGGTGTCAATCCATTAATATCTTTGCTGTAAAAAAAAAAAAATGAATCCTAGAGGTCTGAAGGCCTCTCTATAAATCAGCAGATTCCCTCTATCAAGTGATTTTTAATGACTCTCACTTAAGTTTTTAAATATAAATCACAGTAGACTTAAAAATTCTGTAAAATGCCAAATTTAAAAATTAACACAGACTCTTACAGCCAAAAGGCAAGAAAAGAACTACTAAAAAAAAAAAAACCCTGGGAATTAAAACTCCTAAAAGGCTCTGTAACAGAAAACATCTTCCAAGTTCCAGTACCCCCCAGTGTCCCAGTGTTCTGTGATGTCCTGCTCAGGTGACACCTGAAGCACTTGCAATTGGATGGAGGAGCTTGCTCGTCATGCCTTCTGCTACGGGGGAGGGCCAGGAAGCAGCATTTACACTAAATTGAATTCCCTTAGATTTAGCTGGAGAATTGTGTCTTTGACGGCAGTGAACACGAAACGGATATTCTCTGTATCTGTGGCACATGTAAAGTGGGAATAGATGACTTTCTCTTTGTCAGGATTCTGGTCTTGATAAAGCTTCAGGATAAAGTCTCTAGCAGCTTTGACATCCCGCTTTGGTCCTAGTTACAAATGTAATTAGAAGAATAAAAACCATTCAGGCTCACAACTATGTCCTCCCAAGAGCCATTTAAAATATACTGTTGTTCCTACTTGGGATCCTTCTTTGATCTGTCTTTATTTCTAGGAAATAATTGACCTTCAACATTGCTCTTAATGTATTTCATTATGAATCTATAGAATAGTATTTTAAATGCCCACTCATATCTAAAAATTATACTTAAAGAATACTGAAAAAGAGTGGCACAACTTAATTTTCTGATTTGGACAATCACTAAAGAAAACTAATCTTCAATAACTTGTACAGACAGGCATGGGCTGGGAGAGGGAGGAATGTGAGAAGGAAGTTGGCTCTAAGCTTAAGGGCTCTCCATAGACAGCCATGTGGGTAGTGAAAACAGTGCTGAAATGCCCTCTACATATCTTTATCAAACTCGGTAATATCTGTGACCTCTTGTACCAGGAATAATTAGCAGGAGGGCAAAACCCTCTCTTGCCTTGTCCACCCTGTCTCTAAAAAGGCGATTCTATCTTTCAACCCCAAGAAGCACCAGAAGCTCTGACTGGTTATGGGAGTGCAAAGATAAGTTGAGCACAGCTGCTGCTCCCAAGGAGCTGACCAGGACGGGGGCTGACCTGCAAGCTCGCAGGAGGTCCTGTCAGCAGGATGATGGCCGCCAGAACAAGGGGAGCCAAGCCACCGAGGCAGCAGAAAGAAGATGGCGTGCTCATGCAGGCCTGACCAGCACAGGAGGTCAGAAAGGCTTCCCAGGATAGGAGAAGAGGCCTGGGTTGGATCCCAGAGAGCCACAAGGGTCAGCAAAAGAGAATGGGCCAGTGTATTCCAGGCACTGGGAGCAGCTTCGTGGAGGCTGGAAGTGAGCTCTCTCAAGGTGAGGAATGGTGGGGCTGCTCTGACAGCAGGGAGAGCCGTGTGGGCTGCATGGCTGAGGACTGATGCCATACAGTCAGTGAGATAACACAGAAGCACTGTTGCCCAGAGGAATGCTTACCTTTGTATTCTGGGAAATAGCTGATTAGATGAGAGTACATGATTTTCTCTTCCAAAAGATCCTTCTTGTTCAAGAACAAAATCACAGAGGAGTTCAAGAACCAGGGGTAGGTGATGATGGTTTTAAACAAGGCTTTGCTTTCTTCCATGCGGTTCTAAGTGGAAAACAAAAAAGGACTTAGGCTAAACTAAAGCACACACTTTGGAAACAACCCACCAGGTGGCCGGTGCACCTGTCAGTCCTCTTGCCACACCAATGCACACTGGGGCACTGCCCATGCTGAAGCTGCTCAGCAGAGGGTCAGTGGGGCAGTAGGCTTCGCACCCTTTCCTCTCCCTTAGTAATTGTGGTTTTCTGGATCTCCTTTCCTGAAACATCTGAAACTCTAGCCCAAAAGGGAGATGAAATAAGAAAGGCTTTTGTGCAACTTGGAACAGGAAGGCTCAGGCCCACATCTGGTGGGAGTGTCCTGTGCTGCAGAACTATCGAGACTACCCTGTGGGGAAGAGCTGGCCTCAGACATGAAGTGGCCACTCACTGGGTGGCATTTTCAGACTGTGCCTCAGGAGTTATGTGACATGAGAGGAAGGGAGGCTCCTGTGGCCTGGCCATCACCCCTAGGAATGCCAGACAGCGGTCACACAAGGAATTAACACTGTTCCACGCTGCAGAGTGGAAAAGGAAGTGTCTCTGTCAGGTATATGAGGATACTGTCATTGAGAAAACTGCCCTAAGCCTATGCATGAATGGGAACTGGCAGCAACTATGTACAAAGACCATTATAAGTTCTACATATTAGACACTGACAAGAAAACATTAAGTGCTCCCAAATCCTACGTGATGATAGTAATTCTTCTAGATAGCGTTCTTCTAAGTATTTCTGAGAAAAAAGAAGTAAGAACTTCCTCTTAGGGAGGGAAGTTATCAGACAAAACCAAACCAAACTTCACACATTGAGCTGCAGAGGAGTTTGCCCTAAGTCAAGCCTGTGGTCCCCAGATCTCAGGGCTCACTGCCCGCAGTGCATTGAGGGGAGCAAGGTCCAGCAAACACTACAGAGAGGGCAACTGTTGCACCTTTTTTAAACTTCTCTAAAATTTATTAGGATCTTGTCAATAATAGTTCCAAAGCAAATATCTTTTCAAAAATTCCTTTACAGAATAAGGAATAGGTGTAATGCAGCATCCCCGATCAGAAAAAGGAAAGTCTGGAACGACAATCATTTAAATTTCTCCAAATACTTTGTGACTTTTATGAATGGGAAACCACTTCTGAGTGCATTTGGCTGAGTTGCTGGTCCCTTGTGCACTTGGCGGCTCCTTTCACTTTTCTAGGAAACATCATAAGTGATCCCTGAGGCAATTTGGAGCTAATTTTCTATATTGATAACAATTGATGCCGTAAAAATAAAAAAAGAACTCCCTCTTGGGTGAGCCAGGCAGCAGCCAAGATTCCTATTCTCTGACAATGACACCAGACAGGAAAGGGGTCAGTCCCCCACTAATTAGCTAATGTAACAGTGCTGCACAGAAGTCTGCTCTCAAGAAATACACGATTTGTTCATAGTTACTGTCTAATCCAGAAAGAACTTTTCATTGGTTTGTTTTTATGCCCTGGAAAGAAACATTTCAAAAATCTCCAGGGTTCCTGTGTGTGTTCAGAGGGACAGAAGACATGGGTGCACCCTAGAAAGCAACCCCTCATCTCATAGATTAGTGACTGTGATGGTTCTCTTTGAATGTGGGACGATCTTACAGTGGGGCTGGACCCACCTAGTGACAGGCAGCTCCGCAGTGAACATTAAGTGCCTGACTGGGCGGGGTGAGCCCCATCTGCCCTGAGCAAGGCCCTCCCATGGGAGCGAAGGGCTGACACAATGCCAGCTGCTCCAGAAGACCGCCAGCATCTGACACCACTATCCACACCACACTGGCTAGACACTTAATTTGGGAAAGCCGTGGCCTCTGAAGTTTGGAAAGGCTGCACTCAGAGTTTCTCAGACACAGCATTGCTCATGCTTGGCTATGCTTTAGAGTCTCTCGGGGTCTTGGAAAAGGAGACTATTCCCTGACCCCTGGAACTATAACATTCTAGTGTGGGGCCCACAATGTTGTATTTTTTAAAAGGTCCCCTAGGGACGTCAGTATGCCACCAAGGATGAGAACCTGTCACTTTTGAGTAGTTTCCACTCTTCATAGCACACCTGGAGAGCCTTTTTAGAAGTCCCCATACTTGGGCCACACCCACCACCAGTAAAGTCACCACCTCTGGGGTTGGACCCAGTCATGAGTTTTCCTTTATAAAAATTCCAATGTGCATCAAATTTTAGATTTTTATGATTCATACCAGTGTTTCACGATCATGTACAATAGGTTTTGGGTTTTTTTGTTTTGGGTACTGGGAATTGAACTCAGGACCTTGTACTTGCCAGGCAGATGTTGTGCCGCTGAGCTACATCCCCAGCCCATCACATACAGTCTTACACCACATAACAACCATTCGGTGACCACACAACATATATGATAACAGTCCCAGAAGATTAAAGTGGAGTTGAAAAATTCCTGTTGCCCAGTATTTTTGGTTGACCTTTTCTATGTTTAGTATGTTTAGATATACAAATACCATTGCATTACAGTTGCCAACAGCACTGAGTACAGTAACATACTATGCAAGTTTGTAGCCAAGGAGCAGTGGGCTATAATAATACAGCCAGGTGTGTAGTAGGCTCTGCTGTCTAGATTTATACTATATACTCTGTTGTGTTAACACAATGATGAAGCCACCTATTAAGGTATTTCTCAGAGTTCACATTCACGCTTGCTTTAGATAATTTTCTATTATTGCTGGTACAAAGTGGTCAACACCCAAAGTTAAAGGAGGAAAGGTTTACTTAGCTCAGTTTGTAGAGGTTTCGGTCCATACACAGCTGGCCCAAAAGCAGGGTGGCACATGGCAGACAGAGGAGAAGCAGTTCATAGCAGGTGGAAGGAGGCAAAGCAAGGAAGAGGGACAAGGCAAGCCTCCTTCTATGCCTAATATTGTATCCAGGTTACTTGGATTAGGGAGGTGCCAACCCAAGCAGTGGACTGATTTAGTAATCATCCACCCTTAATTCTAGCATCACACCATGAATCAGTTACACACTCTAGATTCATTCACCTCTGGAAAAGCCCCACCTCATGACTTGCATGAGGCTTTGGAGGGACATCCAGACAGAAACTACAACACTGCTTGCTATTAAGTAACACATCACTACATTTGATTACCTGAGAACTAAATGCAGGCTCTGATTTAGTTGGTCTGGAATGACTCTGTAGGCTGCATTTCTAATAAGCACTGGTTGTTGTTTGACCACAGATTCTACTTGGAATAGTTAAGACCACTTAGTTCCTGGATCCAGCTCTCTCGCTCACTGAGACCCACAGGAAAGTCCTCTGCCCCCTAAAGCTACCTGTGTGCCCCTCATCCACCTAGCATACCTCATTATCACACTCAGCCAGGACCTGGTCATATTCACTGAGAGCAACCAAGAAAATGATGGAGGTGACACTCTCAAAGCAATGAATCCATTTCCGTCGCTCTGATCGCTGCCCACCAACATCCACCATCCTGCTCGATAAAGACAGATCACACAAAGATTAGAATGTATGACTCTTTGAGGAAAAAGGATGTCATTATATCATGAACTCTATTCTCTCTGGGATCCTCAATCATTTTTAAGAATGAGGAGAGGTGCTAAGTTACGCATAAGAATGATTCCAGTTTCTAGAAACAAATGCCTTCCCTAAGGACAATAAACAGATAAATCTCTCTCCACTCTAGAAGTATGACCTACCACAATCTACATGCCCTGAGACAGAAATCTTTTGCCCTAAGAGAGGCAATGCAAGTTTAGGAAGAACACCCATTTAACACACATCTGGGAACTTCCAGTCCTGGCAGATGAGTCTGCAGGACCACACCTGGGAGACAGGCTTACCGGAAGATGATGTTCTCCAAGTCAAATGGGTACTCAATGATGCCAGTGGTGGGCACGCGGACACGGAGCACGTCTTGCTGTGTGGGCACAAAGGATGGCATGGCGATCCGGTCAATGTCAGTCAGGTAACTATGACGATAAAGAAAGAGAATCCGAGGTTTCTTTTAGAGGAAGGAGAAATGTCTGTCCTGATCTAGGGAAGTTAGCTCAAATAGCATTCCTCCCACAGATATATGGATTCTATCAATGACTTTCTCAAGAGCCAACTCTAAGCCAGGCCTCTCTGTCCACCCTACACATGCTCTGAAGACAGCCAGGATCAGAAACTCTTCTGTGGGGCTCTCGGGAGTCTGCAGGTCAGCACCTCTCCTCCTAGGCTCCAATTTTCCTCATTCCTTTTCAGCCATAGGGAGGCGGCAAGGCTGGAGGCTGGAAGTGGCTCTGACTCCCTGCCCAAATGTCCCTCAGTTAAGAAACTTCATGTGTGTAGGTGTGTTCTCCAAGGCTGCTGCTCCAATTAAATAGGGTTTCTAAGAAAACACAATGTCAAATAGGCCCTGGGGAAATTTTTTCAGAAAAACAAGGAAAGCTTTCCTGTTAAAGAACTCAGTAAGTGACACATCTCCTAAAATAATCCAAGACTTGTCTTAGATTCCTTGGGGCCAAATAGCAAAGCCCAGAGTGATTACAAAATATAATCATTTTTTCTTTAGTAAACTGAGAACATACTATTCTTGAATTTTAAGGTCCACATAAAAGGCATTTTTTAAGATGTATTTGGTTGTTGCAGCATCTCACTACACAGCTTGGACTCATGTTGATCCTCCTGCTTTCAGCCTTCCCAGCACTGAGATTACAGGCGTACTCCACAGCCCAGACTCTGACTAGCTCAGCCCACCCTGGGGGTGGGGCTGGTTGAGGATCGAACCTCAGTCACTGCACTTGCCTAAGCTTGCCTAAGCAGGCAATTTAGTCCCTGAGCTAGCTTGCTTGCCCTGGCATTTTTTTTTTAAAAAATAAAATAGCTCTTAGCTCAGGTCCTTGCAAACAGTGAGTTGGTGATTGATTCCAAATCGCCTGCCAGCTGAGGTGGCCCTGCCTTCTCCCAGCACAGCCTGGACACCAGGCCCTGAACTTGTGGGCATAAAGGTGAACCAAGGGTGATGGCAGAGCCTGGTACCCTCCAGCCTGCATCTCAAGAGCCAAGGCACCCTGTGCCACACACACAAGCCCAGAGCTCAGTGCCATTCTCTGTGTACAGCAGCCCTCTTAACCAAGGTTTCACTCTTGCTATCCATGATGTAAAACATTTAGTTCATAAGTTCTGAATTGTTTTGCTTTTAGAGACAAGGTCTTGCTATGTTGCCCAGACAGGCCTCACAGTCCTTTGTGATCCCCCTGCCTCAGCTTCCCATGTGGATGGGATAACAAGCCCATACCACCATGCTTGGCAACAATTCGAAATCATGTGCTATTCTGAATAGCATGATAAAACCAGACATTGTCCTCTCCTGCCCTAGACATGAGCCATCCTTTCCTCTAATGTATGTGCAGTGTATTCACTTCTAGTTTTGGTTATCAGGTCATCTCTCATGGTGTCACAGTGCTCGTGTTCAAGAACCCTTACTTAATAATGGCCTCAACAGGTGTTCTACATTATTAATTACTAGTTATCATTAATCCCCTGCTGTTATGGCTTAGATCTAGATGTCACCTAAGAGCCTCATGCACTCAAAGGCAAAGCTTTTGGGGGCTTAAAGTGGACTTGCTGTGAAGAGCTGGGGTCTGGTCGAAAGAGGCATTCGCTAGGGGTACAAGCCTAGAAGGGTTCATCTCCTTTCTCAGTTCATCCCTTGGCTCTGCTTCCTGTCTGCCAGGCCATGATCAGCTTTTCCTCTTTCATGCTCTGCTGCCTTGAAACCAGGTAACTGTGCGTTGAAACTTAGGACAAAAGAACTTTCTCTTTCCTTAATGTGGTGTTGGGTTTTGTGCATCAGCAACAAGAAAGTGACTAAGACACTGTGCCAAATGTGTAGAAGAAATGTCACTGTAAGTGTACACAGAGGATACAAGATTTGGTCCTATCTGAGGTTTCACACATCCTAGAGGTCTTGGAATGCATCCCCTGGAGGGAAGAGGTGAACACCATATTCTGGTGGGATTGTTTTATACTTGTCTTATGCCACAAATTTTCCAGAGACAATCGGCTGCTTTGCAGCCTTTACTGTAGTGCCTGACACATAGCGAGCATTCCTCCAATTTTGGCAAAGTGAATACATGTCCAGAGAAGCACACAGTACTGGCAAATGGTTGAGAACCAGCGACGAGGGCCAAGGAGATGTGCAAATGCCTCACGTCCTGCACATTCTGAAGATGGGACAACTCTGGTTTAAGAACACTGCTGCAGTCATTCTGTCACCACCCTTGCCACTTTCATACCCTTCTCCATGGATCTACCTCAGTTTCCAGGATCATGCTAAATTCTGTCATGGTTCTGCTGGGTCTTTTCCAAATGGATCTCAATCATGCACCCCTGCCAAGCCCCTGGCACCTTATAGAGGAGATACTACCAAGCAGTCTTGGGAGAGAAAAGGGTTGTGAGGGTGCCTTTGCCATGGAGAACCCCCAGCTCCTCAGGCTGCCCACAGTCTGTACCTCCTCCATGGGGCACCTTTCTCTTTCTGTCTCTTTGCTGGTCTCACACCTTATTGGTGTTGTGACTCTACTTTGACTGTGCCAACTTGGATAATGACATTGAATTCTCAGCCTGTAATGAATGCCAAAGGGAAATTGTTGTGCTGAAGATGACATTTCCGTTCCTGCCTACTACCTCATTCAGACAATGGGGACAACTCACACCTAAATTGCTATGCAGTGAGGGAGAAAACACTATCAGACCCGGATCATCAGCTCTTCAAGATGTGCTTGCCCAGTGCCCTAGCTGACCATTACACTGCCTCGGGAAATTCTTAAGAAAATAAACTCCTGTGATCTCTCTGGGATGGTTTTCTTGTAGGATCACCTAAATAAAAACTGTTTAGCTTCAGGGATTAAAGGTTTAAAATGAGAGCTTTTCCCCAGGTACAGTGATGCATATGGTATTCTCAGCTAGGCAGCAGTTGATTGTTAATTTGAGACCAGCCTGGGAAACATCAAGACTCTACCTCAGAAAGTAAAATAAGCAAAACCAGAACTCTACTGATCAAAAACATAGCACCTGGGGTTTTGCAGGGGGTCAGTGAACGAATGAATCCCTGAGCCTCCCGCGTGCTTTGCCTGGAGATGCCTGTCTCGACCACTAGAGGGAAGCATCAGCCCAGCAGCTGATTTTAGGTCTTGGTTCCAGACAACCAGAAAGGAAGAAGACTATTAAGAGGAAGAAGGGAAATCAGGAACAGGTATATTCTTTCAACCCTCACTCCCACCCGCCACACACGCAACGAGATCCGTCCCACTAAGAGAATCCCAGTTTGAAAAAACCTCTGATTGAAAATAACAGGCTTAGAATGCAATGACAAAAGGCAGCGAGCATGTGCCAGGGGGTAGCTCTGGGGTTCCATAGAGGATCACAGGGTTTCAGGAGGAATCTGAGAGAACACAGCAGGTGACAGCGAGACACAGAAAAACACGGGGAGGCGATGTTGCTACTTGCCACCCCCTGTGTCAGCAAGCAGTGACAAGCTTCCTTGGAACTTGGCCGAGTGTATCTGAAAGCACTGCAGGAAGCCACGGCTGGAGTGCAGTACTCACTACTTGGCGGAGTCCGACAGCTGGTACTCCCTCCTCCTGTCGTAACACTCCTGGATTCCTGGATCCTGCCACAGCTGCTTGATGGCCTCCACCTGGTCTCTGGACAGCATGGAGACCCTGTCAATGTCCACTTCTTTGATTATCTGGGCATTTTCCTGCCCAAAGAAAGGAGAATATTTCATCAGGCAAAGGAAGCCAACCATCTGGCTATCTGGGCGACGAGCTCATCTGCGAGCTGCGAATCTCACTAGGTTTGGGCTGGGGAAAACCCCAGGCAACTGTGACCAGCCAAGCCACCCCTGCTGCAGCCACAGGTGGCTCAGCTTGGCAGAGACAGCCACAGGGGCCCAGACCGTGGACCCCAGTCCAGCAGTGCAGCAATCAACACCCCGGGCAAACAGAGAAGCCGTGGGCAATCATCCAGCAGCTGACTTTATGTCCTCATGCGCTGCTTGCTTGAGTACTGAGGCAGCAGCTCAGAAATATTCCATCCATGACATACCAAGGGTTGGGTGGTGGTAGGGGGTCCACCAAGAACAAGCAATAAGGGGGTGGTACACTGTCTTTGAGAATCACAGGAGAACTGCCACTGTCCATCTGCTTTCTTCTCCTTATTTATTTATTTAGCAGTACTGGTGGTGATCGAACTCAGGACCTTGCACTTACCAGGCAGATGTTTATGCTGCTGAGCTGTATCCCCAACCCCTCTTCTCCTTATTTAAAAAAAATTAAATAAGCTATATTTTGTAGAGCAGTCTTACATTCACCATAAAATCAAGTGGAGACAAGTTTCTATACAGATGCCTGTTACTCTCAGGCCTCCCTGATAAGATTCTCCCCTGCCCTCCCTGGCCCACTGCTTCTCTTGGTTCCCTCCTCACACTACTGATTGCCAGTATTATTATTACCATGCTTACTAAACAATTGTTGCTCTAATGCTAGTGTTCTCTTACTGCAATAACTTAAAGATCATTATTTCTAAAATAATTAGTTTAATTATTACTATACTTAATTATTACACTATTACTATAATTATTACTATGAGAGCCCTGGCCATTTACCGGCCCCTTGCTATGTGCCCAGGGCTGCCCATGCATCATCTCATTTCACCAATGGAAACTCAGTACAAGGCCAGCAACCTTCCTGAACTTTGGAAAATGAAATGACAGGGTTGCCTTGCACCCACATTTCTGTGCTTTGACTCCTGAGACTCAGCATCCCTCCCTCAGCTTTGGCCTGTGACAGGCAAGAGAACCAGTGGGACACAGAGGACCCTGGCATCTTCTGCCCGCTCATCTTTCTGCATCTCACTGATTGCGTCATGCAGAGCTGGCTATTTACTGGCAGAAGAGAGTCAGCAAAGCAGCCCTTTGGTAGCTGTGAGCCCCATATGTGTACACAATACACTCCAAAAGACTGCTTTTATCCTGTATTGTTAATCCTCCAATCATCCAACTGGAAAAAGGACCTCACAGGATCACTTGGAACCATAGCTTTGCCTCACATCTATCACCAAGTGAGTAAAATCTTCCCTGAGACTGCAGGATCCTCAGGCTGTATGGGTTACAGGATATGCCCAGGAGGAAGAACCAGGACCCAGCATTCTAAGCCATACAGTTGGAATCAAGAGGTTCTGGACAAGTTCTGTCTCCATGTCCTCATTTGCAAAGTGAGCCAGTGATTTGCAGGAAATGAACTAGAAAGGGTCACATGCATATAATTATATAATTTTCCTTGCAGTTGTAGTAGATGCCTGATAAACAGTTGCTTGCAAATATGGGACACGTCAGTGGCCACTAAGCCTCAGTATCTGATCCACCAGTACCTGACTTTGCCTGGCCAGCAAGGACAAGGAAGGACAGTCCTAGACAGTGTATGTCTGAGCAGAAGCACGGCCTCCCACCTTCTCCCCATTTCTAGCCACCCTGGTTCCTCTCAAACAGGATCACATGGTCTCCTTCCAACCTCTTGCCCCTAAGTTTAAGACATCTGTCTTCCTGTGTCTTCAAGCTAACTCAGGGAATGCTGGAGAACAGAGCCAGTGCCACTCTTCCTATTAGGCCACCTAGTCCAAGTGTGCTCTGCAGGTGTGTATGTTTCCATAAGTCTTTGTGATGCAGGTGAGCTGTATCTATCTAACAAACCACCAAAAGTCAGCCAGAGGTCTTCCTACTGCAGCAGGGTTACAAGCGTCCAGGGGAGCAGGAGGGGCCAGGAGGTCTCCGGGGGGGGGGTCTGTCTGTTTATTCTGCCTGCGAAGCAGTCAGCACCTTTACTTTTCATGTGACATGCCTCTTGAGTAGTTCTCCTGAATTAAACTGTTAAATTCACTGCAGCTGTGGAGAATTGATGCTGTGACAATCATCAGGGACATTGCAAATATATTTGTACCTGCCTGCCTCTCACACACAAGAACTGTGCTTCAAGATGAATGAGTGAATGGAAGTAACTTGCATCTCTAGGGGAGAAACTTTACAGACCAGTGAATAATTCACATTTCCCTTTATCTACCCTGGTGATGGTAGAAGCAAGCGAGAAGACAGAGCTTCTGTCTCTGGGGTTCCCAAGGGACTGCGATGAGCAGGGACAGCCTAACACCACACAGATGTGTGGCATGAGTGAGGTCAGTTGTGAGTTCTCATCAGCAGTTAGGAGAGCTGAACTTCAGGGGCAATTTGTTACCACAACATAACCTACTACCTACATACTAACTGATACATGCTGCATAGATAAACTCACCTGCCTTGGCTCCACTAGGAAAGGGGCGAGCAGATTTCACTTACATGACAAAGGGGAAGGCAGGCAGTCAGGGGGTGGAAGCCAGAGGAAAGCACAGGCCTGAGCCAGTGGAGCTCAGCCAGAAGAGGAAAACAGTGTCTGCTCGGCCTCCTGGCGGATTTGTGGCAATCTTGCATGGAGGAAGAGGAGCTGGGACCCCTGGGAAACCCGTTGGATGTGAATGTGAAACAGACTGTACTCAAGGGGCCGAGAAGTAGGCCACTTTCAGAGGACTCATCTCTGCCAGTGGCTCTTTCTGCACAGCTTTCCTGACTATCAAGATCTTTTCACAATTCTAACCTCTTATTCTGAAATAATTGAAGACTTTAAAAATGTGGGGAAATGGTTCAAAGACTTCTTCTGTATCTTTCTTCCAAGACCGGTAGAATGTTAACAATGTACTGCCTGCTTTCCCATTCATACTATTCCCCACCAGCTTGCATGGATACAAACACACACACATGCCACCACACTTGTAGATCTTTTTCCTGATTCTCTGAGTATAAGGTCAGACACACTTCCTTAGTACCTCTAGATCCTTTAGTGTGATTTTTCTCAATCATAGCCACAGTGTAGTGATCAAAATCAGGAATTCATATTATGGTTAAAAGGCAGGTTGAATTGGAATGAATGAAACTTAAATTGAGTTCCCCTGCCTGCTGTCACTGTTCCTTCAACTGTGTGCTACACCTCCTGAATTCTATCTGTGAGAGAAAAATTCCAGTGCTTGTGTCCTTGCATGACATGGAGTTTTGCACACAGATTGATTTAAAATGCACTTGTTTACATAACTTGCATAATTTAAAAAGATAATGTTGCCGAATTTTGAAAATGTTAATGTTCAAATTGAAAATTTCCTCTACATGTAACTTTCTTCCTCTGAATCAGTATGTGGCTTACAATCCTGGCCAGTGACTTGGTCTGCTCCAGCGTTAACTGCTATGTGCTGTGCTTCAAGGGGAACTACTGTTTTGCGAAATTTTTGGTACATAATTGTTACAAACATTTTAGCAAATACTTTGTTTCTCTTGCTCGTGCATATCTTGGCTGGCATTACAGAAAAAAAGTACAAACATTTTCTTCTTTTCATTCTGTCATTTTTTTCTCTTTTCCCCCTTTTTTAGTTTGTGTGTAGGGATAGGTAGAGAGGGGATGGTTTATGTGGAATGTTTAGGTTTTCTTCTGCATGATACATCATGTTGTACAGTCTTTAGACAACTTCATACTGTATGAATAAGAAAATAAAATATTTGAAACTTGATACATTATCACTAACTTTCAGAGCTTTCCAAAGTCTGCTGTTTGTTCCATTAATGTTCTTTATTTGACCTGAGCCCAATCTAGGGGCACGGATGACACTTAGTTGTTTGGTCTCTTTAGTTTCTATTTGGAAATGTTCTTCAGTCCGCAAAGTTGTTTTGTCACTGTTGAGCCAGGAGAGCCTGGCAAGTGACAGTCCTTCAGTGACAAGCTGTTAGGATGGTGCTGGTAGAGAGGATGGCACAGACACAGCCCAGTATCCAAGGGACAGGCATAGGAAGCGGAGCAGTGATGGGGAGAGCAGCCTGTTGCCTTTCTAAGTGAGGCACGAGATGGGTGACTTTTGTACACTGTTAACCTGGTCTGTATGCCACATGAGTGCAGGGCTGTGCACGCCTCTCTCTGGCATGGCTGAGGGTCTCTCACACAAGAGAGGAGACATTCTGAAGGGCAGGAGTCCAGCTGCTATGTGGTGTACAAACTCCTAGAGCAAGGGGATAGGGTGTAACATTGAAAAACTTCATTTCATGAAAAGCAAACAAGGTCTGAGGAGGATCAGGCCTGGGGGGAAACATCACCAGGTAGGGAGGGGATGAGCCGAGTGGGAGGCAGCCAATATCTAAATGGTGTGCAGGAAGCAGATGAATGAAATGGGTCTGCTCAGAAAATGCACGCACCTCAAGACCATCATCTTGAGTAAAATAAATCAAATGTACAAGTTTAAATATCTCATTGTTTCTCTTGTCTGATAAACTCAGGATAAAATGGAGCGCCAGGATGGACAGACACTGGGAAGAAGGAAGAACATGTTCAAGTGGGAAGGTAAATGAGGGAGGGGTGGGGGAAGTGATGGAAAGGAAAGGGGAAGAAAGAGAACAGAAAGAAAAACAGAACCAAAGCTTTTGCAAATGGGGAGAGGAAGAGGGACTGGAGGGAGAAAAGGGAAAAAGAAGAGTCAAGATATATTATATACAGGTACACATTTCCTATGATGAGTGTGACCAACATGTATGATAACGACCCAGGCCACGGGGTCCTGAATAGACCCAGAGCGCAGGCCCGGGAGTGAGTGAGACG